TATATATATATATATTTCTGTTTCAGTGTAAATTACTTGTACCTGATGATGACAAAACCTTGTCAAAACGTTGTACATTTGCTGTTATGTTAAACTTATATTAAAGTTTTTCTTCATTACCCATTCAAGCCGTCTCCAGCCATTATTAGTCTCAAAGTGGGTTCCTCGTCATCAAATTTGATATTTAATAAGATCCTTTAACACATGTTTAAAACTTCATCATAAGAATAAATCCTTTATAAAATACATAAAAAATTAAAACTCTTTGTCAAAAATGATATGAAATAACTACAATAAAATCAAGAGTGTGTTACACAAAATTTTAATAAATCTATTAACATAAGTCAGATCAATATTTATCACACTAATAAAAAATGTACATAATAGGATGCTCTGAATATTGATAAATTAGGGTGTACATAACAGGCACTCTTATAGTGAAGTACATATACATTTATGTGGAACTTGCTGATGTTTATCTAATGTTGCTAAATCATTAAATACACATTCTTATCAAAATAGAGCATAAGTTCAAAATACAGTACCTTAGTATCTTAAATTACAAAATACAATGGCATTAATAACGTTTTAGCAAAAGTATATCAAAACATTGAATAATAATGTAAACTTTTTCATATTAGCCAAATGAATACAACATATAAATGAAAACATTTTAACAAGAAAAACTAAAAAATGTCAAAATATTGAATGAATTGTTAAGTAGCCATTAGTGTGATTGGCTGAAGTTTACTAGACAAAATTTATCACCAACTATAAAAGGCTTATTTCTCTTGTGTCACTGTTGAGAATGCTTTCACACTCCTTTTTTGGTAATGCTCAAAATTATACATTGTTGCTAAGTGATAAAACTATCATTTGATTGTTTTTAGGCCAACTATGTTATTTATGTTAAATGGTCAGTATTCGTTTAGTTGTTAGAAAAGGGTTTTTATTCTTTTTTTTTATATAACTTCGGTGATACAACAGCAAAATAGTTCAATTCAGAAGTTTTATGACATTGAGTTGGAGCCAATAGCAAAATAAAATTTGTCAAGTAGTATTTCAGCCAAGCCTTGTGTTACGTTTATGTATTAGGCCTAATGCTTAAATTAACTACAAATAGGCTTACTGTTACTAACGTTGTAGAGTCAGTGTTTCAAAAGTTTTAAGTGGTGAATAAATGGTATTTTAACACACATTACCTAATTGGCTTTAAAACATAAAGAAAAATAAATGTTTTTTACTACCAAATATCTTTTATCCACTGTATGATCAAAAAGAGTTGAAAATTTGAACATTAGTAAATAAGTGGGAATCTCATTAATCCTTTCATGACTATCACTGATTATATGATGGGGCATTTGGCTACCATAAGAGAGCCATAGAAAATATGTTGTATAAACAAATTTGAATCTAGGGGAGGTGTCCAGTGGTTAAAAAAACCCTCAGCCCATTTTTCCAGAAATTATGGAGTGTATTCCTTTACATTGTATAAATAGGCATGGATGTAGCGGTCTGAACCTCATTCACCCAATTTTTTTAGAAGTTAATAAAAAATAGATTGCTAAACATCCATACACTACTGTATAGTATCAAGAAGAAACTTTAGATTTTGTTTTAATTTGATTGTGATACTAATTACCATAAAATATTTTTCGAGATTTTCTGAAATTAACATAAGCTGGAGTGTACAGCAATCCAGTTTAGGTTTCAACCAATAATTCATTATTTCTAGGCTAATACAAGATCAATGCAAATTAAATGTTGCCATAGAAAATTTTTGTGCCTTTGATTTTTCCAGGCACCCACAGTGTGTCAAGATGTAGAGATTTGCTTCACCCAAAATTAGTATTGTTTAACACTTGTCATTTTT